ACCACTGGTATTAAGTCTGCCCTGCTTGCTGCCATCAGGTACAAAATCTGAATTTATGCTAACAGCCACAAAATCAGCCTATTTTATTCTATCTGATAATATCAGCTTGCAGAATTCTATTTAGACTTCAACAATCTGCCTTGAAATCAGCTCATCGTTCACCTCAGCTTGGAATGGTAATATGCAGGTGAAACAATTTCCTGTAGTGTGTCTGTCCAGAGAACACATCAGGTCCTGTGCATGCTCAGCCAGAGAATGAGCTGTGATCTCAAACTTCTGGAAACTACCTGCTGAGAGATTAAGCCATCTTCTGCCTCAGTGTTCAGACTGGCAATGCAGGTAAATAGGCTTTAAGTAGATGTCAGGACCTGTGAAGAAATTGAACTGAAATTATCCCTTGAGAAAGGGTCGTTACCCTGTATCTCCAGAGCAGGAAAAATGTGTTTCCTCAGAGGAGAAAATAAGCTTCCAGGAAGATACAGAGCCAGCAATTGGTTCCAGATAAATCTAATCTATGACAACATGCTGCAAGGTAACCGGCTTTTAGAGAAGGTTGGTTTGAATTGGGACCACCTTGTAGATATATGATCACCTAGCCTTGCTTTCAGGTAGTCCTGGCTAGTAGAATCAGTGGTCAGTGACCCAGGTCAAAGTTTCTATGTCCACACCGCTTAAGAGAACTCAAACATCTGTGAGTGTGTTACCTCATTGCCTGTGGACACTGTTCCAGTTTTTATTTTTTCACAAATTGTCCAGTGAAGTCTGTCCGCCTTGTTTATAAATACAAAAAAATGGCTCCAGTCCCCGTGACACTGTACAAAGCTCTGCTTCCTAGTGTACACTGCCGACTTTCAATATTGCCACTGCCTGCACAGTATGGTACGTTTCAGGCCTCCGTGCAATTACACATGCATGTACATGTTATCCTCTGACCCGCGCCAGACTGTGTACTGTGCAGAAGCCCTGTGCCTCCCTCTGGTCCTTGGGCCAATAATGGGATGTCAACGCTATTACCATGGGATCCGTGGCCTTCACAGAGCATGCAGAAGCGCTGTGATCAATACAATGGCGGTGAATTGAACAGAAAAGCCCCAGGATTTACCGGGGCTCTCCTAAACAACTGTATCATTTGTTTGCTCTCAGCTGGAGTACTATTGTTGTAAAGTCACTGGGCTTTGTATGCACTCCATTGTACAGGAGATATACAAAATCCATCCTGCCGATAAATGCATGTAGTTATCACTGATTAGAATGGATCTTGGGTGAAAAAAATAGTGCTATTGTTTTAGAAGTGTTTTGTTCCTTGAATTGTTTTCTAACAAGGCACAAGGTTCAATTTAAACGCTGTGCTGATGACAAGTAGTATAATATTTTTGACTGGTAAGACATTGACTAGAATTTATTAACTGGAAATTTTATCCAACTGTAGATTTGAACCAAATCAGTTAAGGATTAAATGAAAATAAGTGAAATAATTTACTTTTACTGAGCCAATTATAAATGTGTAGAATGCTTCAAGGCTATTTCTGTATAACAAGTGGAGATTATATTACTTCTTTACTTAAGGGTATATGCCAATGCTGCAAATAGTTCCTGTGTAAGTGAGTACATATTATTTATAAACACTTTCATTCTCTCTCTCTCTCTCTCTCTCTCTCTCTCTCTCTCTCAAAGTCATAAGGGAATCATCATAGTCACTGATAGTTTAGATGAAATTTTACATATCTCTAGAAAGCATGAGTTTGCCTTGAGTCTGAGTTTTTTCTTTTTGTGAGTAGCATAAAATCTTAAAGGATTTTGTAGATATTTACTGTACTGTATTTCCACTATATCAGTAATCCTAGACTAGTGATTGCTAAATGAATCTGTAGCAAAAACAATTCAGAACTATTTGCAGATGTTAAAGATAATTTGGGCAAGTAACATATTGTGTGTGCTGTTACTGTTAATACTCAACTGGGATTCAACTGGGAACTCTTCTGCTTTATCTCTTGCATACAACCCCTTAGCCTCCAAAACAGCAGCGAAATGATTGAGAAAATTCACCAGTCATTACTCTTTATCATATTGAACATTTCTGGGTGAAAGTTGACTTCTTGCATGCAATTGAGTAACTGATGATTATTTTTATTTCAGCTCAGACACCGTATCATTTTTACTTGACATGCAAACGGAGAAACATCACCATGCAGGCTTTAGAATGAGCCATTTACCATTCAAGTTTGGTTTTGCATGTAGCTACTGATTGAAATATATCTTGTTTTTTAATTCCATTTTTCAGCAAGTGCCCCTGCTTCATGTCATAAGATCGCATCAATGGGCACTGGTGTGATCAGAACTCTGCTTTGACTGGCTTTGAGAAGACATTTTTTGTAATCATCTCTGTCCATTCTACATTTAGAATCAAACATTATTAAATGGTGATGGCTGAAGATTGCTTTAAGTCAGTTTTAAAATTTATTTTGGTCAAGAAATTAACTGAGTTGAAACAGGCAAAAAAAAAAAAAGGAAAAATTCTCGATGCTGAAAAATAATCATAATAATTGTTTTGCATTTTCATTTTTAAAATATCAGTGTCCATTTGTTGGATGAGGGGAAAAAAGATAGGGAAGCAGGTAACTCTTGACCACTGGCTAGCTATCAGTCTGATGGGTTGTAAAGACATTCTAGACAGCCTCACACACACATATCTCTAAAAGTAGATCGAAAAGTTCATATAAAAGAAATCAAAATGAAAAAAAGGAATAAATCTAATACATGTGTTAACTGGGGGTATATCTGTTATCAATCTTGTGATGCTTTTAATTGCAACCATGAAACAATTTTTACATAAGATCAGTGTCTGTGCGACAAACAAAAAAAAATATATCCCAATTGAAAACTGTCGACATTTATTGCTTTTCCAATAATGAAGCTTGTCCCAGTGGGACCACTCAATCAATTATGTATACATACATATACAGAAAATCAAGATATGGTAAACGGCTACGGAACCGACACCAGGACACCAGGAGATAAATGCACACAGAGTTATAGCGTAGTTTAGAAATCTGTTAGAAGAATTCTAATCTGCAATAAGATAATAATGTATTTGTAATATGGGAAGCATAAGAGTGAAGTTATACATTTAGTTGTTTTACTTTTTATAAATGAACTGCATGATGTATAAAAGTTACACAGTTATGAAGATGAAAACAAGTTTTGTTGAGAAAGGGGCATATTGTGTTGCCAATTCATATTGTTATGATGGTCCTCATAAGAGATATACATGCATTAAAATTATGTACTAAACTGATACTCAGTACAAATGCACATAATTTTGGTTGATTCAACCATCTTTTAAAGATTTTTTTCTCCTTTTTTTCTTTTGGAGTTCCTTAAAAGAGAAAGCCAAATGCAGGAGCCCAATTTTGAGGTCACAAGTGCCTAGGTGACAGTCACTGTGACAAACTGCCTGGTAGCTTTGATATATTCCAGTGTTCAATAATTTTGCCTGTTGCTGCTATTGGTAAACTGACATCTTAGACTTTTTGAAGACACAGATATTTTTTGACACTGAAATATGATGCATACATTTTATCTAGAAAATCATGATAAAAGATGTGTTGGAAGATTGAAAAGTAGTTATTTTGTCTGCCTTTGAACATGCTTTATTGATATCTGTTGATCAGATATTATTAGGTCTGAAATTGCATTTATACACGGCTACGAGTCATCAACTACATTGAACAGGAAGTCTTAAATAGTATTTGATAACTTGAAGGAGATGTTTAGACACATAACTACCTATTTGTGCTGTAAATGTGGACTTATTCTGAGGGCTGCATGCATTTATGGTTACATTCCTTGATTGTCTGTGGACTCTCTGTTGTTGGAGTTGGCAGGTTTTTGATTTTACTTGGCATAAGGAGATTTATTCAGCACAGTCTAGCCCAAACAAAGAATACGTGAGGCAATGGGGTTGTGTTTGTACATTGACATGAGAAAGATATTTAAAAAGCATGATGGCTCTTTGAAAGTAAATATTTAAGATTTATTTATTTATGATCCATTTAATTTGATTGTAAATATCAATTGCATTAAGTCATTTTATAAACATTTGTTTATATATATTTATTTATAAATTTATTAAATATTTTATCATTATATTTTTAACTGAGAGAGTGTGTGTGCATGGGGAAGGGGGGGACTGAACGGAATTGCACTCTAGTGCAGATAAATGAAAAAAATTCTACAAATACGATGCTTGGAAGGTTTGCCAGAAGCTCTTCCAAAAGAATAAATATATAAGACAGTCTCAAATATTAGAGGAGGCGCCAAGAAAGCATTTGTGCAGATTACCACTCGCCAAGGAACACTTAAGTTTTTTTGTTCTTCCTTTAACTAAGGCTTTCTGAGAGGCAGTCAGGCGACCATATTGAACAGGTGTGCATCTGTGTAAATTACCTGGAGTTTCCAGGAATGGCTGTGATCAAGGGGGAATAATTTATTGATTGAGTTATTCTTGTGCACAGTTATGTACCTGTCTCGGTGGGGTGTGAGAAGAGGCCTGATGCCTGCGTGGCTGGGTAGCTCACCTAACTGCATCGAAAAAAAAAAAAAAAGACAGAAATTGACTGTTCTCAGATTTTGAACTTGGTGTTTTGAGAACTTATGACATCTTTGCTGAAAAAAGAAATTCTGTAATTAGTGTCTATTGGAAAGCAAGAAATTTTGCTTTTGATTTTAAGGTTTTAAGGTTAATGAATTAAAGAGAAGAAAAGTGACTGATGAGAGTGGGGTTACTTTTTAGTTACTGTTTGTAAGACTAAAATTGAAATGTAACTTGAAAACAGCTCTAATGTTGTGAATTCATTTAATATATTCCGATTATAGGGAGAGAACTCTAATCATGATCTTTACTGTTGATAATTCTTAGCACAAGGGTAAATCTAGCCCTTACAAGTGTGTTTTTGTTTTATAATTGTTGTTCAGCTTGATAAATTATGATTACTTTTCAGGTCTGCCAATCCTACCCATGGGTTCATAGTGCTGAACAGGCTGGGGATGAACAATCAAATAGAACCAATCACCAAAGAGGTAGAATTCCAGGCACAAACACCATTCTTGCTGTACAGAAATGGAAAATGTAAGTGTTTGTTAGCACCAATTGACTGTTTTATCTAGTTCTACTTCTCAGGCTGTTTGCAGTAAATATGGTTGAGAATTGATTTCTTGCTCATTGCTCACAGTGGCTTCTCTACTGCAATGAGCCATTTTGTTGTGGATGTCCATCTGACTTTTTAATGTACAGGGGTATATTTTATATGCAGAACAGTGTGTCTGTGTGTAAGTATTCTGCAGTGGCCCGTCCTACAGTGCAAAAAAAAATGTTATTCAAGGAATCAAAAGTGCACCTGCTTATCCACTCGTGCTCTTTCTCTCTCTCTCTCTCTCTCTCTCTCTCTCTCTCTCTCCATCTATCCATCTGCCTGCCTTTTGATATGATTCAAGCTTATTAGAGAAACAAAATGATTTTTGTTGTTCAGTGTGCTACCGATTACGGTACACTCGTAAGACAACATCTGCTTATTTGGAGTCACCCATTACACGTTATGTAAATAATTTACATGGGGGCCTTTAAAATTTTGCTCAGTATACATTAATGTATCCTGGTACTGCCACCATATTTGGGTAAAAATAAGATCTTCAGTTTCTAGTTATTTATTACATATGCAGCTTTATTTACCATTATATCATATCTTGGAGCATGTTTCAAATGTCATAGTTTGAACTTCTGGTTGATTTCAGCTATATGTGGTATATGGTTCTATGACAAAGAAGAATGTGAAAGAATTTCAGAATTAGTAAATAGGTAGGTTGTGTGTACAGAAATAGGAGTCCAGAGAATTTCATCTGGTCTTCTTGACTGCATAGGAAAATATGAAGTTCATGGTTAAAATATATGTATTTTATGATTCTGACATACCTTGGATTGATTTTATTGTAGGCAATAATCTTCAATGTATTCTGAAATCAAAACCTGTATATTTGATATTGGATATTTGATACAGGTTCACCATACCATATTTGGTATTAAACCAGGTTCACCATACTAAACTTGATATTTTATCAGGTTCACAATATTTGATATTAAACCAGGTTTGTCATATCGTAATTGAAATTAAACCAGGTTTGCGTTATCATATTTGATATTAAACCATATTAATCATGCCATGTTTGATATTAAACCAGACTTGCCTTATCATATTTGATATTAAACAAGGTTCACCATACTAAATTTGATATTAAACCAGGTTCACCAGATCATATTTGATATTAAATCAGGTTCACTATACTATATTTGATATTAAACCAGGTTCACCAGATGATATTTGATATTAAATCAGGTTCACTATACCATATTAAACCAGGTTTACCATGTTATGACTTCTTTGCTCTATGTTTTCTAGCGTAGCCAGCCAGCTGAAGAGAGCTGGTAATAATCGCAGCAAAGGTGCTGAGGACGGCAAGATGAGCAGTTCTCAAAGGAGACAGGTGGATATCATGCAGATGTTATCCAAGGCACAGGATGAGTACGACAAGGTGATTACCATTATCAATATATATATTCTGAATTGGTAAACACTTTGGGTCCTACCAAAGAAAAAGGTCATAAAGGCTATACCACTAAAAAGGGCAGATCAGGATCACAAAAGAGGGTGAGAGCTGAGCCACTCAGTTCAATGTGATATAATGCTAAATAGTACAAAATAGAATAGAATGGGAGTTGTATTATGAAAAAGAGCAGTAGCTGTATCACAAGATGGGAATTGTTCAACAGCATGGCTTTTCAAATATAGAATTTCCATACAAATGTAGATTTACAGACCCTTTCTTCATTTCACTCAAGGTAAAAAGAATATACTCTTTTTGAAAAAAGTGGTTTTTGATTACTTTAAAAGTACTTTGTCTTTGTTTTAAAAACAGGATATATATCCAAACAATAGCTTTAAGGCTGGTTAGATGTGAAGTATTTCTCATCTACTCAGCTGCAGCAATTTGTTCTCTCATGTAGCCTGGTGCTGGACTGGCAACTGCCTAAACCGTGCATGCAGTTGATGGTGTCATCAGCAGATTTTGGTTTGACCCAGGGGCAGGTTTCACCATGATGGCAATGCTAAATTCAGCTCTGCAGTTGATTTTATTAGAAGGATCTAAATTGTTAGCATGGGGCCCTTTGACTAATGAAGGTGTTTCGAAACCAGTCCAGATTCTGACTGCCAAGATACCAGGACACACTTGCCACCTTGAAACATAAGCTTGTGATAACTTATTGTTTTGAAAAAAAAAATTAGTGTCTGTTATCATTATTGTGACTGACTTAGGTCTAAGTTAAACAGTTCTCAAGAGTTGTGAAGATTCTTTTGCTTACCATTTTTATCTAAGCTGGTAGAAAATTTCAAATCTCAAAAGCATGGGGACATATCTCAAATAATGATAAGTGATGTTCAAAATTCCAAACTGATAGTTGAAGTTCTACAATGACTATCAGTTACAAAAGTGGCTTTAGTTTGACCCATTGAGATTTGCCCCCTATGCCTTTAATATGTACATTATGTCTTACTTATACTCCTTTTCACATTCTGTGTTTTTCTACTGTTGCGTGGTCGCAAACTTGCGCTCCGTCGCAAACTCTCCACAAGGTCTACTGGGTCTTCTTGTGCTATGCGCTCCATCTCGTTATTGTGGCTATTGCGTCTGGTATCTGTGTCCAGGATTGAGAGAAATAACTTCATGGCTCAATCAGAGTAGAGAATTTTTCATCCCAGTTGTACAGTGCAGCGTTTGTGCCGTCGAGAGTATTTTGTTTTTGTTTTTTTCCTTTTTTGCTAACTGCTGGTCACTTCTGTTGTAACAAATAGCCCTCTCATGCCACTGGTGAAGACACTGCCCTGTCTAATGTCCAGTGGTCAATTCCAGTATGCTGTCTTGTTCAATAAATACAAATTGTGAAATATTCTGAGATTGAGCTTTTTTCTTTTTATCGTCCTGTAGCATACACACAGATCCTGATTAAATTTGACATCAAGATTGTTGAAAGACGGACACTTGAAAATACTTGCTAACTCTTTCATTAATAGCCCTGCTAAAAGTTTTTCCTTGAGCTTCTCATTATAAGGAAGGTCACCTAGACTTGACATAACTTTGAAAATTAAAACTGCTGCACAAGTGAACCCTCACTGTTAAGATTTATCCATATTTAGGGCAGGAGTGCTCTGTGTGGTAGAAATAAGTATGTATTACAGGAATGCAGTAATCTTTTTGCACCTGGATGTACAACAGGGGAGTAGATTTGTTTACTGGAAAATTGGCCCTAAGTTAGTCAGCTGACAGTTAATTAGTGGTAATCACTTCCTTGTGGATAGCCTTGTCCCTGCCCTCATGTATATATGTATAATGTGGTGATAGCTCAGAAGCTGCCCAAGGTAGGTGGGGAGGGGGGGTCATCAGACGTCAGACGTCAACTCTATGAAATGAAACAAAATTTCTAGGATAATTTCTAGGATTTTTTCCTTTGTATTTTCTTTGTATTTGCTGTTTATAATACCAGTTTTGTTTTTGAGTCAAAAATATTCAGAGAAAATATGAGTTGCTTGTACTGGTTTTTGCCAGATGGTGGTTAACAGCTTAACAAAAGTACATTCAGAAGTTCCTAAAACGAACAGGACTTGCTCTTAGATGAGAATTTTTTATTTGGAAGTGCACTGCCATTCTTACTCAAAGCCAATAAATCCCCATCTTTGTTTTCTGGAACAGAAATGAAAGAAGGGAAAAAAATTGGGGAAAATGCAACAAGGCCCTTGTATAACATGTAAATTAAAGCAGAGTGTACAAGCCAGTAAACCCCAGGAGTAATTTTCAACCATGCTAAATATTCTATGAATTGTGGGAGGTATTCCCAGCCTTGCTGTGTTTCCTGTAAGTTATGGTCTACAGAGAGCTGTGTAGAGCTCTAGGGTATAGGTAGGGTCTGGGCAGGGGGAAGGAGAAGAGAGATCAGCTTTTTATTCCAATCAGAGTCAGTGGACCCATCTTTTTTTTTCTTTGATTTTGTTAATATTATGTAATTACATTCAATTTTCAGACCCACCAGGATCCCCAGCTCATGGCTAATAAATAATTTGTTGTATTGTTTCAGGGGCGGATCCAGAGATATATTCTGACAGTCTTTCAAATTTTCTTTGTTGATCCATCCTTAATTTTTGACCGTCTTCTGACAGAAAAAAAATTAAATACCCGTCAATGTAAACTTGAAAATCTGGCCGTCTTCCAGAAGACCCAGAAGACGGCCTGAATCCGCCCCTGTGTTTGACCAATCACATTATCTGTTACACTGTACTTTCAGAGCTCCAAGGAGCCCCAGCCAATGATAGACAATCCAGGGGCCAGTGCTACCCCTGTTAGCTCCAGTGACTTGCTCAAACCAACCCCCAGAGTGGCCTCTCCACATCTTGCTGGTATGTGTACGTGATAGTCTCCTCTTTTATGTCAGACTCTTCATTACAACCTCTCACATGCATGCACATGTGCATACGCATGAACACTCACATGCGTGCGCATGCATGCCCATACGCACACATGCACGTACACACACACACACACACACACACACACACACACACACACACACACACACACACACACAGAGAGAGAGAGAGAGAGAGAGAGAGTTCATCTCTAATCCATTCATGTCTACCTCCACAGGTGGAGATGGCGCCAGCAGCTCTGGGACCACTCAGATCAGTGTGGAGACACTGTTCAAGACAGCCCTGAACTCCAATCTGGCCGGCCCTCCCAGTCCTGCTGGGAAACAGAACAGGTGAATCTTTAACTAGTTTAAACTTTTTACAGCTACATACTTCACTGTATTTCCCACCTCTGTAACATAGCGTCTGTTCCATAAATCTTTTTGACACAAATATTCCAACCAAATTGAAGAATTTAGATAAGATGCAAATGCCATTTTTTTTCATTGAAAATTGCAGTGATTAACAGAAAGAAAAAGATATTATAGAGCAGAAAATACTGTGAAGTACCAATATGTGGGTATATTTCATTCCATTTTAAGCCAACTTACTAGATGGTCTACGGAAGGGAGACAACTTGTAAAAATATTTGTTAAAAAAGGGACAATAACGATTACTAAAATAGGTTATAATAATAATGTTAAATATAATGTTAAATGGTATACCTAACCATTTTTATCAGCCTGTTATATGTTCCCTGTATATGATCACATACATATTCTGTAGCTGCAGTCAAATGTCATTTCAAATGAATAGCATTTAATACAGCATTATAAAGAGAAGTTTTATTTTCTCATACCACAGATCTCAGTCTTTAAGTTGTGAGAGTCCACAGATGACAGGTCCAGAGGCGAACAGTGATATGCCGCCATTGCTGAAGCGCCTGATGTCTGTGAGCACGGTGGAGGAGATTGAGAGACAGCAGAGGAACGAGTACCAGCCTAAGACTGACCAGAGCGGGTCAAGAGTGGACCAGCTGGACCCATTGGTGGGCAGCAGTGCAGGGGCATACACAGACGGTTCCTACAGTCCAGACACCCAGTTAAAAAGAACATTGAACATTTTACCCAGCTCATCAAAGGAGCGCCTTGCTAATTTCCCATCCTCTCCTCAAATCGGTCCCACCACAAACCCTCTAGCTGGAGCGGGAGGGGGAAGACCTGTGTTTGGGCTGTTCTCTTCAGAGTTACCCACTTCCGATGCCCCTCCCTCCCAGCGGAGGTCCCCTGCAGTGCCTAGTCAGCCTACACCCCCTAGTACACAGAGCCTCCATCAGCCGGCTGGGGGTGTCAGTGGAAGTCTATCTAGTCAGTATCATTCCGCCCCAAACTTGCCAGGTATTGGTGTATATGGTCAGGTGGCCCCCGCGTCCACCCTAGTCACTCCACAGGCCTTGAGCCAACTGTCCTCTGCTGTCTCTATTACTCAGGTACACACTAGGAAAATTTTGTATAAAATAATTATTATTTATGATTGATTATATATTCATGCTATGATCTGTCATTTTTATAGTGAAATATAAGTTATACAGTGATATCTAATGAAAATGAATGAATGTTAGGACATGTTTCAAATTGTATTCTATGGTGTTCCAAATTTTCTCAAATTTTAAGGATGTGCCAAATGTTATCACATATTAAGGATGTGCCAAATGTTATCACATTTTAAGGATGTGCCAAATGTTATCACATTTTAAGGACGTGCCAAATGTTATCACATATTAAGAGTGTTCCAAATGTGATCCCATTTCTAGACTAGGCCAGCCACAGTGTTGATATCTCCCATGGCATTTGAGCAACCAGTCAAGAAGTCCAGCCCGCCTGTGTCAGCAGGTCCAGTGGCTGCGGCCTCACAGATGTTCTCTTATACAGGTTAGAGTTACCTTTTATGTTCTGAGTGCACATGCATGCACGCATGCATGCACGCACGCACACGTTTATTCACAAGTATGCGTGCGTACACCATGGTGCCTGCTTAGCTTGATGAAACTCGTTGCTCCATGAATGCTAACTTATCTTTGTATTTGCTTAAGTTTTAATTTAGTTTAACTCTGCTTTGAAGAATGAATAGGTATTAAATTATGTGTAATTTAATGATTAATGTAGCTATCTCTAATGTGTTGGTTAAAAATTTCAGGCAATTTACTCATTTTGAATATTTTATGATTTCAAGGTTTACAATGTTCAATAGCAGAAATAGACAATAGATTATGAATAAACACATACTGGCTTGACTCCCATTGATTGTTCAGATATTTGGAATCGAGCAGATTTAGAAATTATACACTGAAAATATTGTAAAGGTATTTGTCAGAGTACTTAATGCAAGGAGGGAATGTAATTTTAATCAATTAACTGTGATTTGTTCGAGTTTGGTGTGAAATTGTCTATATTAAGTTTATTAAGTTAGTAAATGTGTTTTTAATTTCAGGCGGAGGTCCAGTGTGCACCTCTTCTCCAGACCAGAGCCCCCCAGTGGCGCCCCCTGGTCCTGCTCACATTAACCCTCTGACCAGAGAACAGATGCAGCAGGCCTTGTTATATCTGATTAAGGTAGAGAAATATCTAGAATTAAGCACAAAGTAAGAAAAATAATAATGTAGAAGCAGAATGAGGAGATTAAATAAGTCTCACTTTGAATATTGCATATGAATGTCACTAAGCTTTATTTAATTTATAACTTAACAAAACTTTGAATGCAAATGAATATGTAGAAAGATGTGGTTTCTTGATAATGTTTTTATCCAATGATTTATAAACAATATTTCAGAATGACCCTAGTTTCATGTCAGTTCTCCATGAGGCATATGTGAAAAGTTTGACAGAAAGTTTCAGCAAGAGATGAGACCAGTGCTGCCACCTGCAGAGTCCAGTAGCCATCTTTGTTTATTTGATGCACAGAAAGGCAAAGATGATGTTGGGTCATTTTATTTAATGGTATTATGATATATATTACAAATAGATTGGACTGAATTTGTACCTTTGTCATTGCATATGTTGTAAGATTTTTTAAAAATATTAATCACATGACATTGCACTGTAAGCAGATTTCAAGATATTACGATTGTTTGACCTTGTTTTGGGATGACGAGAAGGAATCCCTTTATTTTGTGGTTTTTGTAACTGCAGTTGAGTAAAAAACCTGGGAACAGCTGAGGATATTTACTTTTCCAGGAATTTTTCTGTATAGTGCTTGTTTGTTTTTTCCCCTTCAATTATTATATAGCATCAGTTTGATTTTAAAAACATACCACTTAAGTATTATGTGAATGTAACAGCGTTGGAATTTGGATTCTTAAGTTTAGTAATTCACAGTTCTGTTACAGTAAAGGATACCTATTATTTGATGTTAATTTGTTCTTCATGTGATGCATATGCGATATTTATACATGTACAAAGACAGGAATGATTCAGATTCCTTACTAAACCTGCGCCAAATCATTTATTGTACTTAAGGGGGTGATAATTTCTAGCCATTTTCAGTCATTGTCTGTACATTTTGATCATTTCAAGAGTTCAAAATACATAGAAAATTAATACAAATAACCAGAAATAATCATTTTTTTTCTTTTTTTTTTTTACCCCAGGCAGCAATGTCCCCCCTTTAAGGATTGAGATAGTATTTACATTGCACGTTACGTTGGTGCCTATTTTGCAGTTGGTGGAATTAGTATAACAAAGGCCAAGGTATTCACATATAATACTCTGCTGTTTCCTTTATCTGTAAGATATTGTTATAAAAAATGAAGATAACCATATAGAAGAATACTGGTGCCATGACTTAATGATCAAAATACAGGATATGTCTATTGATTATTTTGCTTTCACTGCCATGGATCAGGTGATCTGATTGTGGCATGTGATTGGTTACTTGTCACATGATTAAATACTGACATATCATTGGTCCTGATGCATAATGTGGCAGAATAGTGACTTTTCTGGCTTTGCAATAAGCAGATTATTGAAGGACCAGTGGTTGCCATAAGGTGTGATGCTGAATTACTATTAAACCATGCATGGCAAGAGTCATGCTAGTTACTTGCTATTGGCCATTGTGCAACATGGCCTGTATTGGTTATATTATTGGCCAGTCTGAGTCACATGACCATGGACGAAATGGAATTGGTCAGTATGCCATATGAAACATGCTGATGAAAACTCATTGGCCAATGTGCATTATGTGGTACCTTGTCATTGGTCCGTAGGAATCGTGGCAAGACAAAGCCGCATTTTTGGCTGATATCTTTCATATGACAATTCTGGTGAGGTATAGATTGGTTAGTGACATTCAAGCTTTGCTCTTACATGTCAGCAATGAAATTTCTCGTTGCTGGAACTGATTAGTAGATCCAAACATCATAAATGCTTTGTGATAACTTACATATTGGTTAGATCTTGTAATGTCCTAGATTTATATATGGTGAATTGTTGTCTTGTTTGTGCAACATATATTATTTTGCAGGATTGCCATAGGTCCACGTAATATGTCAGGTGACTAGAAAGTAAATTCCCATTGGTGCACAAAAGTCATGTGATATTATTTTGTTGACATGTTGTTGACTTATTATTGGTAAAGTCATGCCATGCCATGTTATTTTGTTACAAAGTAATAATCAGGTTGAGCTGAAATTAGAGTAGCTTAAAGCGTGAATAATCAGTTGGTGTTTGCTGCAATGCATACATTACACTGTGTTTCCTGTGTTGGAATTCAGTGAAAGCCGGTGAGACGTAGATCTGTGAGGGAATTTCTTAATTTCCTATATACAAGACCCAGAGGTAGTGGAGGGAATTTCTTAATTTCCTATATACAAGACCCAAGAGGTAGTGCATGCTTTAGACCCACTTTATACAGGTTTGATTTGCCATCTCCTCTGCTGGAGGATTTAGGGACCGTTCACATGGAAAGTCTATTTTCTAAAAATCTATTTTCTATTTGCGGTATCTTGTGATCATGGTCTGTGCCCTGAATATCCCCCGGGGTAATTACTGGCAGCGCAGGGAGTAACTGGCACGTGCTGCCAGTAATTACGCCGCGGGGTACTCAGGGCACAGACCGTGATCACAAGATTCCGTGAATAGAAAATAGATTTTTAGAAAATAGACTTTCCATGTGAACGGTCCATTAGTATGTAGCCAGTCTAAAAAAAAGTGATAGCAGTTTAGCCTGTGGATATGTGTGTTTTTGTCCAATATAAATAATGGAAGCTAATACTCGACACAAAGGGCAGCTTGCTACGTAGACCCCTACATCTCCATAGTTATAAACCTGAAATAGATCTGTTTCCATGCTTGCAGTTAGGGACTTGAAGCCTTTAGGGGTGAGGTAGTGTACATCTTCAAGGGCAGCACTTTTAGCAACTTTCGGGGTGAGAGAGGCTTACAAATCTGCATTTGTGGCAATTTAGTGTAAGTTTAAGTCTGTCTTGTTTTGATTTAAACCGTAGGTAGTTTTGATTAAAGGGACAGGTATTAAACACAACTGATTCCTTTAGTTTTCTTAGTTCTATGATGTAACCACAAGTCGGCCTAAAGCCCTTTTCACATTGTGTGTCATATCTTCGGGATAGGGCTGAACTGGTATGTTTATAAGAGATTAATAACTTCATAGCTTTGGCTGTTACATAACAAAGACACCTTTGTGGAACCTCCACACTCTACATACTCCACATACTCCTTACAGGTATCCAAAGGAGGATTTTTGCACCAAAAACTTGTATGTAATCACCCCAGGGAAAATGGCATTTTCCCCAAATTTACCAACCTTTTATCTTCCTTTCCTGAAACTCACCATAACTCTAAAGCGGAGGTTTTCCAGATGCTCCAGTCAAGATGGCGGACTACCTAGTCTGACAGGGGACAGTTTTGGCAATATTAAGGCCATTTACATGTCATTTTATGTTTTAAAAGTTTTAATTGCCCTCGGATAAGTTCAACAAGATGCAATCCATGCACTTACAATGTGTTTTAAATCCTTCATTGGGTACCTTTAATAAATTCCTACCTAAACAATAGAAAGCAAGCTTGTATAGAATTTGTGAAATGTGGTAAGGTCTACTGTAGTGTGATTACGTGGTAAAACCTTTCAAAACTACTGGTACAGCTGTCTGACTAAGGGCGCGCTCCCAATAAATCTTTCTGCGTAGATTGATCCAGAATGCAATCAGATTTGCTGAATGGCAAGCCTCCTCGAGCATCTAGGATTGATTAACTTTTGTCAATCTGCTTGCAATTAGCGAGAGCCTTATGCGGAATTGGATAAATCTACGTAGAACAAAAGTTCCATTGGGAACGTGCCCTAAGATGTAATACTCTGGGTGAAAACACCTTTAAAAAAATGTTCTGACTGTGGGGAATACAGCTTGTAATACAAAGGGTTCCATTTCACTGGGGTGGTGGGGGTCTTGATAATTCCTTTAAAATACCACAGGTTTTCTAAGGTACTGAGGGAGGGGGGGGNCATCATTAAGGCTTTGTGATAACTTACATATTGGTTAGATCTTGTAATGTCCTAGATTTATATATGGTGAATTGTTGTCTTGTTTGTGCAACATATATTATTTTGCAGGATTGCCATAGGTCCACGTAATATGTCAGGTGACTAGAAAGTAAATTCCCATTGGTGCACAAAAGTCATGTGATATTATTTTGTTGACATGTTGTTGACTTATTATTGGTAAAGTCATGCCATGCCATGTTATTTTGTTACAAAGTAATAATCAGGTTGAGCTGAAATTAGAGTAGTTTAAAGCGTGAATAATCAGTTGGTGTTTGCTGCAATGCATACATTACACTGTGTTTCCTGTGTTGGAATTCAGTGAAAGCTGGTGAGACGTAGATCTGTAAGGGAATTTCTAAATTTCCTATATACAAGACCTAAGAGTAAGTGCATGCTTTAGACCCACTTTATACAGGTTTGATTTGCCATCTCCTCTACTGGAGGATTTAGTGTGTAGCCAGTCTAAAAAAAGTGATAGAAGTTTAGCCTGTGGATATGTGTGTTTTTGTCCAATATAAATAATGGAAGCTAATACTCGACACAAAGGGCAGCTTGCTACGTAGACCCCTACATCTCCATAGTTATAAACCTGAAATAGATCTGTTTCCATGCTTGCAGTTAGGGACTTGAAGCCTTTAGGGGTGAGGTAGTGAACATCTTCAAGGGCAGCACTTTTAGCAACTTTTAGGGTGAGAGAGGCTTACAAATCTGCATTTGTGGCAATTTAGTGTAAGTTTAAGTCTGTCTTGATTTGATTTAAACCGTAGGTAGTTTTGATTAAAGGGACAGGTATTAAACACAACTGATTCCTTTAGTTTTCTTAGTTCTATGATGTAACCACAAGTCGGCCTAAAACCATTTTCACATTAATTTATGTGTAATATCTTCAGGATAGGGCTGTACTGGTATGTTTATAAGAGATTAATGACTTCATAGCTTTGGCTGTTACATAACAAAAACACCTTTGTGGAGCCTCCACACTCTACATCCTCCACACACTCCTCACAGCCAAGGTATCCAAAGGAGGATTTTTGCACCAAAAACTAGTATGTAATCATGCCAGGGAAAATGGTATTTTTTCCAAAATTTACCAACCTTTAATCTTCCTTTCTGGACACTCACCATAACTCTTAAGCAGAGATTTTCCAGATGCTCCAGTCAAGATGGCGGACTACCTAGTCTGACAGGGGACAGTTTTGGCAATATTAAGGCCATTTATCTATCATTTTATGTTTTAAAAGTTTAACAAGATGCAATCCATGCATTTACAATATGTTTTAAATCCTTCATTGGGCACCTTTAATAAATTCCTACCTAAACAATAGAAAGCGAGCTTGTATAGAATTTGTGAAATGTGGTAAGGTCTACTGTAGTGTGATTACGTGGTAGAACCTTTCAAAACTACTGGTACAGCTGTCTGACTAAGGGCGCGCTCCCAATAAATCTCTCTGCGTAGATTGGTCCAGCTTTGGCTGAATGCTGTCAGATTTGCTGAATGACAAGCCTCCTCGAGCAGCTAGGGGGTGATTAACTTTTGTTAATTTGCTTGCAATTAGCGAGAGCCTCATGCAGAATTGGATCAATCTACCTAGAACAAAAGTTCCATTGGGAACGTGCCCTAAGATGTAATACTCTGGGTGAAAACACCTTAAAACACCTTAAAATGTTCTGACTGAGGGGAATACAGCTTGTAAAACAAAGGGTTCCATTTCACTGGGGTGGTGGGGGTCTTGATAATTCCTTTAAAATACCACAGGTTTTCTAAGGTACTGAGGGAGGGGGGGGGGTGGGGTAGAAATTAAATATTTCAATAGAGGGAAGTTTCCAAAAAACATTCTGCAAATTAGTGCAATGCAGTGCACAGTTGGAAATCTTATATTGATTTTGATCACTGCACAGGACTTTTTAGATATACAGTCAAAGATATGAGAGATTTCAGTACATCATTTTATGCTATTGTCACAGAAAATGAAACAGCACAATTTATTTAGTTTGTAGATGTGGCTAGAAAATAATTACTCTTAAATTTCAAATGCCTTGCCTTTTTCAGTTGTTCAGTTTTTGTTTCTCATTTCACTTATGTAACCACAAAAAATGCTTTTTGCAGTGAATCCAAATTATAAAACAAACTCTTCAAATTATCTTTTTCTTTTTGTTTTGGGGAAATGTTACATGTCAGTTTTGTTTTAATTAAAAGCTGAAGCTAGGTAATATTGAAAAGTTGAATTTATTTATTGTAATTGTGAGATCTCAGTTAGATTGTGCTGTTTTTATGGAACGTGTCACTTTTGTTTTGGTTAAGTATTCATATTTTTATTTATTTATTTTTCTTTTTTGCTAAGTTTTTCAGGTCATAGCTCTTTTTTTTTTTCATTTCTTCAATTTTTCTTCTCTATGTTTGTATCTTGCGTTGTTATTCTATTTATTTCTCTTTTCTCTTTCTCCCTTTTCTGTTTTTGAAGGCTGTGTATCTGACTCCTATATCTCTTCATTTGTATTGATTTAACAAGGCATTTTCAGGTTTTGGAGGGTTTCAGTTGGAGTGAGACAGAGTCTGAATTGGTGGATTTTGCTTTTTAAAGCAGATGGGGAGTTTTTTTCTCTCAGATTTTGCCATAGGTAGCCTTTGAATGCCTTTAATTAGGAAAGACAAAATGTCAAAACATCCCTGCCACTCTGGGACTTTTATTCAACCGGACCCCCTTGATGTTTTGGAACTTGATGCGAGATTGAATTCTATTTTAATCAGTTTCATCATTTAATGTATCACAACATGATCTAGTCTATTTTCTCTTCTTTGTTGCTATGGAGACAGGTACACAGCCTTCGGTGTTGAAGATCACTAATAATAATGTCCATATACTATACCATTCCACTGCAATTAATCATCGAAGATTTTATTTGACAGAGAAGTGTGTGGGTATGCGTGTGTGTGTGTGGGTGTGTGTGTGTGTTGAAAATGTATTTTTTTGGATGAAGACTGCATGGCAAGTGTGGTTGCCATAGGCCATTGTGTGTGTATGGAGGTAGTGTGTTTACTGGGCAAGTACGTCAATAGATGTGTGTGCATGTATTTGTGTGTGTGTGTGTGTGTGTGAGAGAGAGAGAGAGACGAGAGAGAGAGACGAGAGTTATAAGTATAGGTACAGACATTTGTGAATTATTCCTTCCAATACATGAGACTGTGATGTACTTTGATATAATGTAATATTTTGTTGTAGGTTGTTTGTGAATAGTCATTTTGAAAATGCTCATATTTGCACTTAAAAGTTTTCTTTAGTGAATCACTGATATGGCACCCACATATATTGGTAGTCAACTTCTCCTATATCATTTCTCTTACTTTGCAAATATGTAACTTAAACACAGTAGTGAAATGGTACAATAAATCTTGGATTCAGAGACTCTTGGAAATTCTTCTCTCAGCAGTATTGCCAAATAACTTTGCAGACTAAAGCTCTTATGCGAAATGGACCCCAGGAACCAGCTACTTGAAACATTAATCTAAATAATTTATGTAATAGAAGAGAATTTTCAACAGACTGAGACTGGGGGGTTTGTACCAAAGGTATAGGTAGTGAAAATTAGTTATAAGGTATATTGGTTAGTATGTGAATGCTCTTTGGGTGTATCAACACTTAGCATGTCATTTCTGAATAGGCTTGGAAATGTCGTCTTTCATGAAATACTGTCATGAACAGATGAATTTTCATACAATATGAATGCTTTGTTATTTCAGTTTTATTTCCAAGTATATGTTCATATACAGTTGTGCCTAAGACGCATTTGAAATGGAAGTCTTGATAGTAGATGCGACAAGAACCATGTTTTTGCTTTGTGTTGGGGAGCCCATATTTGCACTTGTAATTTTCTTCGTTTGTCAAGGCCCCAATTAGTAAATACTGATAAGTTTAAAGGCATTCTGTTGCAGCATATCTGAACCATTGCCATTCAGGGTGTCAAAATGGAGACCAATGCTAGAACATGTGATACCTTAGATGCCAAATCCTTATTAGTTTTACCTGTTGCATGCTATATTTATGCAGCTTTTAAGTACAAATCTACATTTCAACTTGCATTTACTGCAGAAAACAACTGCAGTCTAGAGTGACGTTTTAAGTTTATATGGTATTATGTTGTTCGTTTGAAAATTATTCTACAGTTTTCATTACCAGGACTTATTTAGATAACTCCTTAACAAAACATCAGAGTAATGCAATTTTGAAACCATATGTATCTTTTTATAAGATAAAATTGGTTTTGGATTTTTGCCAGCTGTGCAAAAAATGCATTGATTATGTTAGACTGAATTCTAGAACATTGCAGCACGGTTTAGTGTAATACTTGAAGATGCAGCATAGGTTTTAGTGGTTGAATTTTCTTCGACATTCACTTTTATTTTATTCACTTCTGTCTGTTTACAAATGTCTTACTTATATTTTTAACACTTATTTTGGTAAGGTTGACTGATTTTCTTTTAAATGTGACTTAAAGTCAAATCAGGAATTTTTGTACAATCCTTGATGTTTATTTTTGTAAAAAAAAATTAAAAAAAAATAAATGGTGATCTTTAACACCAATAAGTGTTATGTTTTTGATCTTTAGTCGTAGTGTTTGGTAGCCATTGTTTTGCTTTAGAGTTCTGAATTTCTGTCTTTTACCGCCATGAGTGTAAAATTCACTGGAGTCTCTTCCTTCATTTCTAGTATGACCTTAATGCAGGACTTTCAGATCCATTTCCATTATTACCTAAAAAAAAAAAAAAAAAAAAAAAAAAAAAAAAGCGGGACTTGCAGATTGTAATTCTGTGAAGGATTTTGGACATGGCATAAATTGATAAGGGGAAAAAAAGAGTTGAAATCTCCAGCAAAAATCTAATTCTTGTTATAAAAAGTGCCAACGGTCATTGTGTGCCTTTCAACTACGGAGAGAATCAAATGACCATATTTGTTCATTTACTTAAGACCTTCACACAAATTCATGTCCTTAAAAATTCTAATCATTTGATTAAAACGGTAGTAAATTCAGAAAATATCCAAACAAGTGTCATATTGGCAAAAACTGGATTGAAAAAATTTTGGTTAATTCCCTGTATAAATCTGTCATGATTTTTTTTTTAACGTTTTAGCGGGAGACAGAAGACATATAATTATTGAAGATAGCAGCACTATGTTTCGGGTGCATGGGACTATTTAAATATATATGTACATTTCAAACTTTCTAAGTTTTAAAGAGGCATAATCTAGCCCACTTCTCTAGTTTTCACCCAGTAGAACTTAGCAAACACCATTGCGCGCCTCTATTTCCTCCCATTCTCTTTAAAATGATGCAGATTGCGGTAACTGTTCAGCACCTGGGAAACACTGATATGATAGCGCGTTGGTGGCAGAAGATGGACTACTGTCAAATGATAGTTATGATACAGAGGTGAGGGGAGGGGGAGGGGTCAAACACTTCCTCTTCAGGTTATTATAAGAAAACAAGTAAACTGTAACTTCATCTGGCAGTCAGAATGTAAGAAACCAAAATTTAATGTTAAATTGATGACTTGGCACCCAAGCAAATTGGCATTTCAATTACCACTATCTGCAACGTAACTTTCAATGTTTTTTTTAACATTCAACAAGTGACGATTATTTTCAAGTTTTAGTATATCACTTTGTAAAATTAGTCGGGGGGGCATGATTGTGAGTCTACAGTGTAACTGGGGCTAAATCCTCAAATCTAGCGACTGGCTACAATGACCGACGACCACGGTTTTCCCAACGCGATGGCAAGAGAAAATTCTTAATATGATCGCAAGGAACTACCATATATATTATGTACGCTATTCATCAACTCAAACAGCATATAATTTTGACACAGCTGCAGGTAGCGTGAATGTGACGACACGGGGCGCTAAAGAGTACGTCTTCTTATGGGAAGTGAGCTTCTGTTGCAGCATTAGCCTTCACCTTGACCTAGATTTCAGTGGAATGTGCAACACTTCTTCACCCTTAGCCTTCTGAATGTGATAGATGTACCATTTGGTGTTGAACAGAAGGTTTAAAAAAGAAATCGGTGTAAGTACAGCTACCTTGTTTTTAGGTTTTTTAAAAGGAATACTTGGACTTAGTATGGGTTCACCGTATTGTGCTTGACGAGGCGGCTAAATGATGCCCGCACCACGCTGCCTCAGTTGTTCAACCTCACTTGCTGTAAAATTTTATAACAGGCATGTGCGAGGCCGAACTACTGAGGCAGCACCACGCAAGCTTTCCACATCAAGTTACACAGTGACATTTCACTAAACTTGCAGTCGGTTCAATGGTCACTACCATTGTGTCTCAAAGTTTGGGCTACTAATACTTACAGGTTTCGGCTTTAGATGACTTTAATAAAACTTGTCGATTTAAGGGTACCTACACCATGTAGCATGTATCTCACTCAGTACCACTCTGTAAAAAGGCAGTGTGGTCTTCTTTTTGTATTAAGCTAGAAAATATGTGCATAAATGCCAGCTTTTATTTTCACAACAACACATAGCACAAAATTTGTCTTTAAGGGATACTCTCAATGTTTTGAGTGATTGGGTTCCAGAGAAAAATGAGAAAAGGGGTAAACCATCCTATGTCTCTTTGCAACTTGCAGGGGCGGATCCAGAGGTGTTTTCTGACAGTCTTCCAAATTATCTTTATTGATCCATCCTCCGTTTTTGACCGTCTCCCGACAGAAAAAATTAGATACCCGTCAATGTTAACTTAAAAATCTGACCGTCTTCCAGAAGACCCAGAAGATGGCCTAAATCCACCCCTGACTTGTATAGCAGCCAGAATTGTCAGCTGACAACTGGTGAATATTCTGCTCTGTGCAGCAGCACAGATGCAAAGATTACTGCAGTGAAATTGAACTTGTAGAGAAGAGCACATGAAACCCAGCTGTGTCTTAGGGAAGGCCTGAGGTGAGGTATTTGAAGCCGTTGCTTTCCCTGACTCTGCACAGCAGATCAATCTTTCATTATTTCTTTTCAGATGATCAGTTGCTGTCAGCTGTGACATTTCTATTGAAGAAGAGCAACAACAACAGTACTGTAGTGTGTAAGGTCAGGCATAACTGTGACAATGGTGGTGAGGACATATAAGGAAGAGTTACGCTTCTTAGAGAAGTTATCTGACTGTTGTTGGAAAATCAGAAAAGGCTTCGTGTCTAATATGAAGGTATGGCGTTAATTTGAATGCTGTTGAATTAAACTCAAATAAACTTATTTTGCTCTCCTGTCCATTTGCTTGTTTATTTTTCCTGACTTATTACAGCTTTGACATTGCTCTATCTACTTATCTTGAAAAGGTGTGTTAAATCCTGATATTTACACCATGTGACTTTGTATGACTGAGTAAAAAGCATATATTGTCTTCACATTTAATTACGTCATTCAATGATAATGATTTGTTTTTAATGTACAGTTATGGCAATTGTTTTGTTAATTAAAAAAATTAAGATATTTCACCAGGTGATGCTGAAAGAGATTATTCCTAAGTTTTGAAAACCAAACTGGGTTTATGTCAAGTTATATTTTGAACCTGTAAAAATGAGAGATATTGAAAAAAATTAAATATATTTAAATTGAAAAAAAAAATGAAATACTTGACAAAGAGACCTGTTTCTAAAACATTTGTGAGTTATGAATTCATACAACCCATGTGGTTTGAATACTGAAATCTGTTCATTTGATGTGTCTTCTCTGTGTGAATATTTTTATATCTCTTTTCTCTAGGTGGATGGAGTATTTTACGTGAATGAACACCTAGAGAAACTTATGTTTGATGAACTGAAGGCATCATGTAACAGTCAAGGTTTTGGGGGTTTCCTACCAGGGATGAAACAAATAGCAAATGTTGCAGCTCTACCAGGCATTGTTGGGGTAAATAAAGAAGAGTGTCTCTTAACTGCAAAGAAAAAAAAAAAATAATTCATGATGATAATTATAATTTTTTGTCTAGTGTCAACCATGTCAAATTTTATTACAATATCTTGCTTAGTTATGGAGTTACATCAAAAACCTGTAACTATCTCACTCCAATTTAAAAAGCGGGGCAATTTAAGATTAATGTTTGGGGAATGGCCACACTCTAAACTGAATTAATCTAGTGGGATGGTAAATAAAGCAATAAAAAGGGGAGTTCGTGCTCTAGAAGTGCTTATTTTTATTGCAGTGATATTAAGATAAGTATTTCGCATGAAAAAAACGGAATAAAATTATCTTGCCAAATTTAGTCCTTTGTAACATAGTGATCCCCCTTAAAGAGTATGCTTTTAATTGGCCTGGGTAGACACTCACTACTGTTTAAATGTATTCACAGTGAATGGCTAGTTTTAATGTCCACACAGATTTAAATTGTGAATGTTTTATTACAGAAATCAGTTGGTCTTCCGGATGTACATTCTGGATACGGGTTTGCCATTGGTGAGTGAGACAGCCACTTATGTATTAAACAAGATTTGCTTAGTCTCTTGCATATGGCCTTATTTTAACATTTGTAGAAGAACTAATGAAATATGACATATTTATAATTGATTTTATTTTAATCAATAAACTTGTGTTAAGCACAATATATATATATCATATAACGGCTATTGCTGTTTTGTATTCTCACACTTAGCTAAACTCTTAACCTATACTAGAACCATTTGTTGAAAATAGACTGTTTGTGTTCTAGGTAACATGGCGGCCTTTGACATGGATGACCCCAAGGCAGTTGTGTCCCCAGGGGGTGTGGGGTTTGACATTAACTGTGGGGTCAGACTATTAAGGACTAATCTCTTTGAAAAAGACGTTCTCCCCGTCAAGGAGCAGCTTGCACAGAGTTTGTTTGATCATATTCCAGTTGGAGTTGGTTCAAAAGGTGTTATACCTATGACAGCAAAGTAAGTAGAATCATGTGTGCATGGGTGCATTCACGCTTGCATGTGTGTGTGTGTGTGTGTGTGTGTGTGTGTGTGTGTGTGTGTGTGTGTGTGTGTGTGTGTGTGTGTGTGTGTGTGTGTGTGTTATCAGTACTAATTTTTATGAAAGAAGTATTTCATACCACTGACCAGTTATGTTGTAATAATGCAAGATAAGGATAAATAAAATTTTGATTATGGTTAAATGGCTATTTATACAAACACTCAGACATATATGCAAGGGATTACCTTTACATAAATGTGATAGGCTTCATGGCAATTATGAAACGAGTTATTTAGTTTGACTGATGCCAATGCCCTCCCCCCCCTTTCCCCCAAAGTGATTTACATTTATTGCAGACAATAAGGAAATGTGCTGATTAGTTGCAATCAAGCTTACAGAAGGTTTGCCAAAAGTGTCATCTAAAGAACAGATACGAGTCTTTGCACATTCATCATGTTTAATTGTCCACTATTGTTTTACTTCAGAGATCTAGAGGAGGCCTTGGAAATGGGGATGGACTGGTCACTCAGAGAAGGTAAGGGACCATTCCCACGGACATTTGAATCGACCTATCTCACTGGGGAGTCTCACTAAATTGCTATCAACTTAACCGGCTCAAGTGTTTGTCACGCCCAGTAAAGCTGTTAGGCGGTAATTATCTTTACCCTAGCTGATTCGGTAGGCAAGGCAGACATTTAAGCCAGTTAAGTTGATAGTGAGACTTCCCAGGGAGTTAGACCAATCCAGATGGATCAATCTAGGCATGGGAACTCAGTCCAAGTTTTTACTTTTATATTAGGAAAATGAAAGACAAAAGATATAGCAACCCTTTTTTGTACTTTCACCAGTGCATGAATCTTGCTTTGGAAAGATTCATTGAACTTACTAGGTTTGGTTTTTAGGTGGTCAGATTTAAACTTAAGCTACGGTTAATTACTGCAGTCAAGTTGAAGTTCACTTAATATTGTGAATTAGTTCTCTACCCTGATTATTCTTACTGGCAGGTTATGCGTGGGCAGAGGACAAGGAACACTGTGAGGAGTATGGCCGCATGCTGCAGTCTGATCCTTCCAAAGTCAGCTTCAGAGCTAAGAAGAGAGGACTGCCACAGGTGACACATCTTTTCATGTTTACTATTGATGTTTCAGTCTCTTTTTAAGTCTCTTGTTCTTTACATGTACAGATCATAACTGAAGCTAGTAGGTTTTTTGTTTCAAATACAGTGATTATTGAAATTTTACTGATTCTTTTGTACAGTGGCTGTGCAAGAAATTCAGTACTAAGATCATATTTAGGATGTTGACCACATATTTAAGTTGACAGCACTAAAAAAGCACAGACTTTCGTCAAGACGATGATTACAAAAATTACTTAGAAATTTTCTTTGGAAACTGTATCCAGTTGAAATTATTACCACATCCCATTCTTTCTCTCCTGAGTACATGTTACTGCATTTCTGTCCCAATTTCTTTTGCCATATTTTATCAAAGTATACGAAGAACTATTTTGAGACATCTTGTCCACTAGCAAACCAACGCCAAATCAAGATTGTTTAGAACATGAATTCCTTGCATTGGCAGATTTGACAATCTTGTAAAGAAAGATGCCAGTGTGGTTTAATGTAAGGCAGTATTTTGGACATGAATCAACTTATCATTAACTGTCACCATTTCCTACTTGCAGCTGGGCACCCTGGGGGCAGGGAACCACTACGCAGAGATACAAGTGGCTGACAAAATCTTTGACAAGTTTGCTGCCAAGAAGATGGGGATAGAGGAAGAGGGTCAGGTGTGTGTGATGATCCACAGTGGTAGTCGTGGCATGGGACACCAGGTGGCGACAGGTGAGTCAAGGGGAGACTGGAGATAGTGCGTGCGTGCATGCGTGCGTGCATGGGTGCGTGTGTGTATAAGCGTGTGTGTACATGTGTAGGAGAGGGGCATTATGATGTCAGTACATCATGTACAGTGATATTCAGCCCAATAAAGCTCCCTTGTGGACTCCTTTTATCCCCAGAAAGCTGTTACATGGACATTACCTAGTTATAAGGTATATACGACTTGCATTATTCGAAAGGTGCGATATGCGCATGACCGGAATTGTGCACTGCAGGGGTCAAAATAGTACCGGAAGCGTTGTTGACAGCGATAGGAACACATGATGGAAGCATAAGACATGCCGGGGGCGATATTAAACAAGCCATTTGAGGCGACAACGATGCCGGAGTTGAAAAGTTGGTTAAAATGTAGGATGCCCACACATCAGGCAAAAAAGAAGAGCTGATAAAAAGGTATGTTACACGATATTTTCTTAAATACAAGACCAAATACAAAACCCTAATGTGGTCATTATGTAATTATGTTCACCTGAGTCATTTATTGGGGAGATAAATTTGTCACCTGGTTCAAGCAGTTATCTGATACAATCTCTGAGGTGGGCTAGTGCACTGTACAGGTAATTAGTACAAGCTCACTGTCAATATCAGTGCATCTATCATTTGTT